GAAACCTAGTAACTCCCATCGAAGTTTACAGTTGCAGAAAAGTCGAAATAGAATAGCATCAAAGCGTTAAAGTGTTTTGCATAAGGTTTCTTATACTGACCATATGAGGTTTTACCCTGACCAGCCCAAGCGGATAAACACAGCACAAACTCCTTATGTATAAAACCTAAGGTGAGGTCAGAAATAAATACATACACTTGCACCTTATTTAAATTCTACTACATTGTACTCTAACAGCAGTTCATGGCTGCAGGGAAGGTACCCGCCTTTAGTAGCTTAGTGAATGTTTTGGCAAGGAGTTTAATCAGTGGGATATTGGCGTCGGGGCGTCACAGTGTCCTGCGTTTGGCGAAGCGCTCCACTGTGGCCTTCAGGAGGAGGATTTGGATCCCGTCGGGGCCAGGATCCATACTGGGATAGAATAGTATAACCTTCAATACATCGTCGGGGCGTATGGCAGAAGTTATATCAGGCGAGGGTTTGGTGGTATCCGGTGGTGCCACGTACGGGTTTGTGAGGGTGGTACCTTTGTCATCGGCACCTGGTAAGCAGGGTTGGCGCGGAGACCGTCGTTGGTACGTTGAACATTTGAGCATTGCTGTGGGCGGTCATGACGTGGGCGGAACGAGCGGTTTGGCAGCCGCTGAGCCTAGGGTCTGTTTAAGTCATAGTCGAACCCCCCGAAGATTTGTGGGTTAGCGGCATAGCGTCAGATGTGGTCGAGGATCCGTAGCAGCCCTTCCGCTGGTCCGTACAAAGTGAACAAATACGACCGTAGTAGGTTCTGATGCGCCCGGATTTTGGCTTGGAACAGTCGCTTGCAGGACCTTTTGCGTAGGTGATACAGTCGATGGCGTTATCGGTTATATCCATGAGAGGGGAGGCGTTGGTCCAGAGGCGGCGGCATTGTTGGCATTTATTGGGGACGATGGATTTGTTTTGTTGGAAGTATCTAAAGATCGAGTCTAAAGATGTGGTCACCATATATACCGTAGTCCGTCAGCTTATAGGTCTGGAGGAAGGCGGGGTTGGTAGGCCGATGATACACATGTTCTGTAGCAGTTGAACCGCCAGCATATAGGTAGTCCAAGTGCCACGTTTTACGTAGGGTAGCTCGATCGTGTTCATACATAGTCTATGATTGTTTTGTAGATGCGTGGCCAAACTTCCGGGCTTTGAAGTTGAAGTCCCCCCAAACGACATCTGGTTGGGAATTGTCAATCTCGGGGGAATTCATGTATCGCCTGATGTCTTCTTCGGTAAGTGATTTGAGTAGGAGGTAGAAAACGGCCATGTGAACGCCAAGGCATACAACAGCACCGCTACGGTGGGGAGTGTACAAGTTGAATTTTCGATGGGCGGTGTTTGGAAAAAAAGCCAATACCACAGTGTGAAAGTGTGTAAGATATTATGCCATGTAGTGTGATGTAGAATTGTGTGTTCGAGCGTATATGATTAAGAAATGTGGTGTTATGCCAGGTTTCAACCACACACTGTGGGTACAGAATGTCCATTTAGACCATCATTCGTCGCACAGTAACACAACCAAGTGCGAAATTGTCTAGATATGAGCATATCTGATCAGTGATGAACCTCTAGTAGGGACTTATTCTGTATATAACTTTATTCACCAACAATTGCAAATTGCACGTACACAGCGAGAAAAACAGAGAGAAAAATATTGTGAACCACAATTTTCTTTTTTGTTTGTTTTTTATATAAAAAAAATTGAGAATAAAATTATGCATGTCCAGGCCCACAAGGCAGTCAGGCACTGTCGCTCTCTCAGAGTCAGAGAGTCTGAGAGGGACCTCATCATTTATTTATTTATATAGAGAGGACCCCCAGTCACCTCCGGCGCCCAGTCGCCCAGTCGCTTTTCATTTTTCTCTGAGGGAATTTCTTATCTATCCATCAGAACTTCATATGTATATGTATGTAAATACATTTTTATATAGAGAGAGAGAACAAAGCGATCAGACCCTTAAAAGCTACTAGAGCTTACATGCCAACTGATAAACTTCAGATCACGTTCTCTGACATATTCTCAACGGGTTGCAATCACAAGAATCGGAGCGCATGTGTTATCTGCCAGGGGACATAACAGAATCTACAGGCAACTATGGCGTACACCGATAGACAGGTCTATGCACCAGGATATTTTTTAAAAGCAAATTCCGATGCAGCAGGCAAAAACAGAAAATTAAACCACCATAATGATCCAACAATTACAAACAGAACCAACTTAGATTCGAGTGCAGGGGACGAAACAAACACGAACATGAGCACACAGGCGAGTGGATATATTGACGAGTACAAAAGTAGTAGTTTCACGGATGATCCCAAAATAAACGAGGATGAATGCTTTATAGCTACTATCAAGGGTGATGATGAAAGACTTGCGAGATATCTCGACGATGTAAACACTACGGATAAGGTAGATAGCGCGCGACCTGCTTTGAATAACTCTTAGTCCATTTGTGTTCATCGAAGTGAGTTTTGATATATAACTTATATTCGTCTGCTGTTGATGGCTCTTACAATACATTCTCGTGCTCCGTTTGACTTAAATTGTGAACTGTGAAATTGTATGAATGCCATTGATTGCCTACATGCGATAAAAAAATCTTACATATATATATATATATATATATATATATATATATATATATATATATATATATATATATATATATATATATATATATATATATATACTATATATATATATATATATATATATATATATAT